CCCCCATCTTTCCTCCCACCACCCAGGCTAATCTTCATCGTTCTCCTAAAGGCTGCTCTCCTCTGCCTCAGCTCTTCTTCTCTCCTTTAATTCTCTCTTCACACACACTGTCCTGTTAACTCCTGGATTCTAATTTAAAACATCAGCTCATTGCAGTCAAAGCCTTGGTGTTGAACACAGTTTCCCGCCCTGCTGCTGCTGCAGGATTTAATCATCCTTATTTTCAACAAAAGGTTGAAATGTTTGTGTGAAACTGTGATGGACCATCAGGCAGCTGCTTATAGAGACAATAAAAGATGTATTTTCTTTAAAAATGCAGCAGGAAAACTGAAAGCTTATTTGCTGAAGAAGCTGAAACTAAGTTGTTGGAGCTAAAATAACCCAACAGTGGCTAAAAGAATGAAAGCATTGTCTAAAAGCTCAATGAAGCAAAATTAACTGATAAAAACCCAAATAGAAAAAAAGGAAAAATGCAGTAAAAAGCTAAACATGAAAAGCGGCAAATGATTCACTGAAATTTCAAGGTAAAAATAAWAGTAGAAAAAGCCTAAAGGAGTAAAAAGGTAGCAGGTGACAAAACACCAGCTAAAAGTAGCAGAATAATTACTGAAAGCTAAAAGTTGCAAAAAGATAGCTACTAAAACAAGCAAAATGCTAAGTAAAAGAAGCAATAGTTAAGCTGAAAGCTAAAATTTGCAAAAAGTTAAAATTAGCAAAATATTATAGCAAAAAGCTAATCAAAAGCAGCAAAAGTTAAGCTGAAAGCTAAAAGTCGCAAAAATGTTAAAATTAGTCGCAAAAGGCTCACTAAAAGCAGAAAGAGTTTAAAGTGCCTGCGGCATCAAATTTTTGTAATAAATGTGGATGTATTTTTTGGAAAGACAATATTGAAAATGTTTTGCAAAACAAATTTCACTCACATGTGATGAACGGTTGTTGAGATATTTGCGTGTGAAGAAACAGGAAGTGATGTCAAAGGGGAATGTCTGCATGTAAACAGAGCGATGCTGCAATAATTAAAGAATCTGATGTTTCTTTAGAATATTTTGAGTCAGAGAGATGAAGAGTTCAAAGATGGTTTCAATAAACAAAGACCAGAGAGTTTCTTTTCTTAGAGTTCCCCTTTGATGTCACTTCCTGTTTCACTTTGCTGAGACAAATTCGAGAGAAAATATGCCAGTAATGAAACAAAATGGGTAAAATCATGTGTATTGTGCTAATTTTCTTAAATATAAATATGTTTTCTTTGACTTTTTATATTTGAATGATAAAGGTAGGCCCTTTAAAGCAATTAACAACAGGTTAGCTAAAAGGTAAAACTAAGAAAACAAAAGCAGACATCTAAAAGTTAAAAATAAATTCAATGTGTTTCCAGGTGTAAAATATTTGTTAATGTAGATAARTGTTGTGAAAGCATTACAAAGAAAGCACTCCTGAATGAGCTGAACATTTGGATGCAACGATTAAATTAACAGACTTGATTTGTGAATCAGCCTTCACACGATGTGTCWCAAGTGCTGCTTTGACACCAAACAAATGTGTCGACTCCTACAAACATTTTGAACAGATTACCTCACGATTCATGTGAAATTTGATTGATTTGATGAACTAAATGAACAGAACTCCTGCTGAAAAGGTTGATGCTCTCTGCAGAAACTGCTGATTGGTGATTCTGCCGCCTGTTTTTGGCACAGTTCTTGGCGCTGAAGGGCTTTCTTGGTCCAACAGAGGCAGGACAAATGAAGGTGAAGCCACGAGCCTCCTGTCAGCATTTAGAAACCACCTGCYGGCTCCTTCAAATCAGATTTCAGCTCCTTCAAAGGCACAAAGATCATCCTGAGACAGAAAGAAATGCTCCGGTGCATTTCTTACAGCAGCATAATTTTATAATAAATCCATAACAAGAGATTGATAAGCACTAATGTCCCATTCTCATATGTCAAAATAATATTTTATGATGTCTTCCTTAGCTTTTGATTTTTAGAATGCTCTATTTTGGGTTGAGAGTTCAGTTGAACAAGTGAAAGAGAAAAACAAAGTTAGATTTTATTCTTCAGCTTATTGAACATATGTTTTGWTGGAAAAGTGCTCATGTAGAGATGAGGTCCACTTTACTGGATTGTGTTTTGTTAACTGTGTAAYGTAATCTTACTTTTAAAAATATCTACAAGGAAAAATGAACAAGGCTTTTATCTATTCCTTGAATAAAAAGGGGAAACGGTATAACTTTAATTATGCCAATGAAATTATTTTGTGCTCTCTCATAAACTTATCTGTTGCTATAAAATTCAAATATAAATTCAAATGTTGTGTTTCACTGTCAGAAACCTTTTGCATTTTTAGCAAGATAAATAAGGTACTCTTTAGAAATCTGCAGCTTTGCATTGACGTAAAGTCACTTCCTGTCTTGTCACACCACCAGGTTTCTGTTTGTGATCAGCACACCTGATCACTTCTCTCATTATATTCAGCTCTCTGATGATTATTATTATTTTTTGGTTGCATCTTAGTCAGATCCTTATTAAATTTGTTGGTAGTTTTTTTAAGTGCATCTTCTGTGCCATGGATAAGAATTTAGTTTTCTTCAGCCTGTCTACCAGTGCTGGACTTTTACCTGCATTTGAGCTTTAATCCCTCTGTACATGACACATGTTGTGATACTAAAAGATTGGTAGAAAATACTTTGGGACTATTTTTAAAACTTTCTTAAAACCATTAACTTTTTTGGTTTTATTATTRCAGCTTGATTTAAATTTAAAGTGGACATGCATTTTTAAATCCTTCTTTTTCACATTTAAATCATACAAAGTGAAACGGCACTGCTTTGGTATGAATTCCCCCTTAGTGTAATTCCACAAGCCCCTCTTTCACCACTTTTCTGAGGTGTCTCAAATGAGACCGTCTCTTTAAAACCAAACAAGGC